ATTAAAAAAATAGATTTTGACAATTTAAAATAAGAGGCCGTTTGACAACCCTCATTTTCGGCTTATCAGCCAACTTTTTTACCAAACACGTAAATTTTGCTTTCGCGCGCTAAATTGTGTAATAAGCCGAAAAAGTAAAGTTGGAGTTACTTTTCCGGCTGTATTGGCTGAAGTTACTGTAGACGATCATTTTAGCTATTTTTACATATAATTTTTTCTTTATTTTATTAATAAAATATATTTTAAAAATATTTTTTTCTTGTATCAGCGAAATCAGCCAATACAGCCACTTCAGCCAGAACTTCATAAATTTCAGCAGAATCAGCCAAAACAACTGATTTTCGTGCTATCAAACGGGCTCTAAGTTTAATTTAAAATTTTTGTTTTAAAATTTAATTTATTTCATTATTAGATAAAATAGAGTCGGCTTGTGAATAATGCAAAAAAGTCTAATGTTGAATTTAAAAGAGAACGGAGATATTATATACTATCTCCCTTAAAACTTTGCCAACTTTCCTTTTTTGTATGTTCCATTAACTTTGCCACTTTCCAATTTAAGTAAAAAATTCGTGGTTCCAGTTAATTCTCTCTCCTCTGTACAAAAACCTCAACCACACAGTTTTTACTTTATTAATCCTCGTGCCGGTCAAACTTGGCAAAGTTTTAAGGGACGGAGGGAGTAATATCAAAAATAACATCTATACATACTAATTGTATCCAATACTAATGTTAATACTCCCTCCGTCCCTCTTATATTGTCCCATTTTACCTTTTCGGGAAGTCCCACTAAAATTGTCTCATACCATATTTGGTAAAGTTTGTGTGGTTCTAAATCATTCTTACTTTATTCTTACTTTATCAATTAATATAAACCACACAACACCACTTTTCTTAATAATCGTGCCACTCTCTTCTGACCCAATATAAGAAGGACAGAGGTAGTACTACGTATATAACAATAACTGACCGGGCCGAATGAATATACAAAAAATCTATCATCTACTCCGTATTACTTAGTACTCCCCCCGTCCCGGAAAATTCTTCCCGGTTCGACTTGGATCGGAGTTTAAGAAAGTGTGAATAAAGTGTGAATGTGTGGTTGTGGTTGAGTAAGAAAAAGGTAAATGAATGGTAGCCACACAAACCTTTCCAAAAAGGGAAATGAGAAAAAAAAATTGGGACATCCCAAGAAGGTAAGCGGGAAGAATTTTTTGCGACGGAGGTAGTACTATGTATTGCAGAGTACATGGCAGCGTGCTTGACTTCACCACGAGATCCACTACAAGAAAATTGGAGTTTTACCATACATGTATATGTCGGTAAAAGTGTAGTTATGTGAAGGCAATCATTTTTGTTTCCACATAAATTAAGTGTAGACATGTGTGGGTATGCAACCGTAGTTAAATGTGTTTACCCACACAGCGATGTATGTGTGGGTAAAACTGTTTATTTTTACCTACAAATGTATGGGTAGGTAAAACATATATCATGTGTTGCTGTTTGTCATGTACACACCGTTTTGGTGACATGGCGTCTAACATGGCACATGATGTGCCACGTGACGTGGCGATTTAGTGATTACGTGGCACACGACGTGGAAAATGAGGTTATTTTCGGAAAAATACAGCCACATGGACACATTTTATGTGTACTAAAGATGATAAATGTGTAGCTAAATGATCGAAATAAACGTGAATAAATATCTATAGGTGTAAGTAAAATGAATCGTTTCCTACTCTTTTTCAAACTACCTCAATTAGGCAGATTCTAATGTCATGGTGGCTTAAAGCTGGTGCTAAGAAGATGGAGGACATATTTAAACACTGCTTGCCAGGTATCATATGCTGGCACATATGGAAAACTTATTCAAGTTTTATTTGGGGTCAGGAGGGTTTCACCCCCTCATCAGCAGGAATCATTAAACAGATAAAAATCTATTCTCAGGCCTGGTCAGTTGGACTCCCTAAAGGTAAAATTCGAACAGTTGAAAGGATTTTATACGAGGAAGAAATGATACCTAGTACATTCAGGCTAGGTCGTCCAATTATTTTGGCAGTAAAATGGAAAAAACCATCCCAAACCTTCAAATTAAATACTGATGCAAGATACTCACCTGAATCGTCTGTGGGAGGCGCGATTCTAAGGGTTGGTAAAATGAATCGTAAGTGTGGTTAAAAGTTTTGTCTATGTGTATCTATTGATAATTATGGGTTGGTACGACTATTCTTTTGATTTAATTAACGTTTATTTTTTATGAAATAGACCTATGTAATAATAACAGAACACATCAATATAATACAAATTGAAAACAAGCTCATTCAAAATCAAAAGTATGTTCGTAGAATTATACTTCGTACAATAATAAGTTTGACGTTTGAATGTGATTTACTAATGATTATAGAGTAATACACAACTTTTTATAGACACACAAAAAAGTAATTAAAACGCAGTATATAATTTGAAAACACATTACATTCCACAATAAATATTATGAACCATTTCTTTATAACCAACATACTCGATTTCAATGTTCGTTCCTCCATTATCGTTTGCAATTAGTTACTCTTGACACAACCATGTAAAGTTGATAATGACTAAAAACAATTTTTTTACAATAAACAAACATGTGACGACTGTCATTGACTTTTATTTATAGTCATGACATAATGAGTCATGTTTGAGTATAACCACATGTAGAAATGGAATGATAAGCGGCTAACATCTGAAGGTGTTAAGAAATTCTGAGAATTAATAACTTCTATCAAAACTAAAGCTTGTAGAAATACCCCATTTAATAAAACGCTTTGCTAGGAATTTACCGAAGTGATGCACAAATGATTTTGGCAAAGAATTTTAACATTTTCAACGGGTTATATATATATATATATATATATATATATATATATATATATATATATATATTAAACGAAGGTAAATTATATTACATATATAGTGACTAAGTGCATCTTCAATGCTATAATGTGCACGGTGCACATGTGGCAGGAGACAGATAGACACAAAAGATTAAATTAATGACATTTCTCTCTTCTTTCCACGACCTTATGTGTTTTTGGTAAGTTTTTCTCAACAATGTCAACCACATTGTCTACATCTAGACATTGTGCTTGACATTGTATAGAAAAACTTACCAAAAACATATAAGATCGTTCAAGTAAGGAGAGAGATATTCTATTTGTTGTTAATTGGATATCTCCAATACCACGTATGCACCGTTCATGTTTTTGCATTGGAGATGCTCTAAGTAGTTAGATGGCCATACATTTGTAGTAATAAATATAATAGGTAGAAAACTCATCAACCCAGCCCCATTGCTCCATAAGAAAACATACAACCGGACCAGCCCAACGCAACTAAGCCTGAAATAATCTCACCTATACACCAGAACCTTCTCGAGTCTCCACAGTCAACACCCCTGCTCCCATCAACTATCGCCTCGACTCGTCTGCCCTCATTCATCTCCCGCACCACGTTGTGTTGCGCGTGGATTTCATCTTCACCTCAACACACTCACCGCCCCTCGCATAAAATAGATCTGACCATTTCATTAACTCAAATCTTTCGCTGGTCAATCGTTGCCAACACCACATATATATTCATCGCACTCTGTCGATCGACTCGATGGCTGAATAGGGCTCACCACCACAAAACCACACAAAACCGCACCATGTAGTGAAAGAACACAAAAACATGATTTTGGGAGTTCATCTGGTTTTGGAAATTAAAGTTCCGACACAAATAAGTTTGTTGGTTCTTTTTAAACATCACATTTGTAATCGGACTGCATGCCTAACTCTTACTTGTTTGCATGATATTTTTCTTGTAAATTATGCTCGTATTATTCTTCTAACAATTTCAAAGAACAATCCCTTTTCTCAAGTATATGTCCTTATTCAAAAATATCTTCCATGTATTCTCAAACAATGGAAGTCTCAAATTCTTTTACAACTAAACAAATTAAATTGCCTGATTGCCGGTTGGAATACATTTCGTAATGCATATTTATGAATAAATAAAAGGATTGCATTTCTCTATTTTACTTTATTTTCGGTAGTATACATGTAGGTAATAGGATTCTTGGATATGTATACTATGCATAACATTAATATTGGAAGGAATTGTTTTTTCAATTTTTTTTTAAAATAGTTATTTAGGTTTGTGGCCACAAAAGGGAAATTAAACTCCCGAAAGAAGGGTCAAATTTTTTTTTAAGATAAAATCAATTTCAAGTCCTTAAGGATGTTATCTTACTAAAGTCGATTTACTGTCAATTAAAGGATGTAAATTTTAAGGGAAATTCTACGGTGCCTTGCTTAAATTACTATGCACCGGTACCCAATTAGGTGTACGGATAAGTTTATCTTTATTTGTGGGTTTCAAGACATTACACGGAAGCCTATATCATACAAACGATTGTACGGTGTCAGCCGTACCGCCGGTGGCAATTTTGTAATTTTTGTGAAAACACGGCTTCTCTTGAATGAGCATTAACACAATTTTGTTGAGCATCAAGCCTGTTCTTTTGAGTATTATGAGTCTAAGAATGAGCATATGCTACATGATATCTTCTAATTGATTTTTATGGTTTGGTAAGACTATTCTTTTGATTTAATTAACATTTATTTTTTATGAAATAGACCTATGTAATAATAACAAAACACATCAATATAATACAAATTGAAAACAAGCTCATTCAAAATCAAAAGTATGTTCGTAGAATTATACTTCGTACAATAATAAGTTTGACGTTTGAATGTGATTTACTAATGATTATAGAGTAATACACAACTTTTTATAGACACACAAAAAAGTAATTAAAACGCGGTATATAATTTGAAAACACATTACATTCCACGTTAAATATTATGAACCATTTCTTTATAACCAACATACTCGATTTCAATGTTCGTTCCTCCGTTATCGTTTGCAATTAGTTACTCTTGACACAACCACGTAAAGTTGATAATGACTAAAAACAATTTTTTTTACAATAAACAAACATGCGACGACTGTCATTGACTTTCATTTATGTAAAAACTACACGCTAAAGAGAAGGAAATCTTTTTCTTGTTCATTCAATATGCCGAAGGAATACATATATACAATTCTAGTCCATTAAAATCTCCTACTAAGAAGGAAAGAAATAAACTAAAATAAATGTACAATATATTCACAACTTGATATCCGCTAATAATAAGGCAAGACTTCCGCGGCAAGATACGTAGCATGCATATGCGTCTAACACCCCCCCTCAAGATGGGCTATGAGGATCCCGAATACCCATCTTGGACAATAAGTAGGTGAACTGTCGTTGACCTATAGCCTTAGTGAGGACATCCGCCAATTGTTCGGTAGTGGACCGATGAGAAGGGAGAATAGCCCCAGAACTAATATGGTCCCGCAAGAAGTGACAGTCTATTTCAATATGTTTGGTACGCTCGTGATAGACTGGGTTAGAGGCAATATGAAGGGCCGCCTGGTTGTCACAAAACAACCGCATGGGTTGAGAATGACAAACCGCAAGTGACGAGAGCAAACTCTTGAGCCAAAGTAGCTCACAAGTCAGAAGAGCCATGGACCGATACTCCGCTTCAGCTGAGGACCTTGAAACAGTGTTTTGTTTCTTGGTTCGCCAAGAGATAGGTGAGGAACCCAACATGACAAAATATCCAGAGATTGACCGCCGGGTAGTTGGGCAACTTGCCCAGTCTGAGTCACAAAATCCCGTTAAAGAAAGGTCGGAGTCACGACGTAAAAATATCCCTTGACCTGGGTGTTCCTTAAGATACTGCAACACTCGAACGACAGCCTCCTAGTGTGCTATACGCGGGCACTCCATGAATTGGGAAAGAATATGCACAGAATAGCTAATATCTGGTCGGGTGAGGGTGAGATAAATAAGCTTCCCAACTAACCGGCGATATTGTTCAGGATTCTCGCAGAGTGGACCATCATCAAGTTGAAGGCCGTGATTTTGGATCATAGGAAAAGACACCGGTTTGGCTCCCAGAAGTCCCGTTTCAGATAAAATATCCATTACGTATTTCCTCTGACCCAAAAATATACCAGTAGGATTACGTGCTATTTCAATGCCAAGAAAATATTTCATAGAACCCAAATCCTTAATAGGAAAATGTTGTCCCAAATAAAGTTTGAAATCAAGAATGAGTTGATGGTCATTTCCGGTGATTAACAAGTCATCCACGTAAATCAAAATGCACATGATTTTTCCAGATGTACGAAAGGTGAAAAGAGTATTATCAGCACCAGACTGGATAAATCCATAAGAACGAAGAGCTTGCCGAAGTTTAGAAAACCAGCACCGGGGTGCTTGGCGTAGCCTGTAAAGTTATTTTAGTAAACGACATACCTTCCCGGAATCAGATGCCGAATAGCCAGGTGGAAAATGCATATATACCTCTTCGCCTAGGTCGCCATGCAAAAATGCATTCTCAACATCCATCTGGTGCAATTCCCAGTCACGTGCTGCTGCAACAGATAAAACAGTGCGTACCGTCACCATTTTAGCAACCGGGGCAAAAGTCTCGTGATAATCGATGCCTTGGACCTGTCGGTTTCAACACACCACGAGACGAGCTTTGTATCTGTCAATGGATCCATCACTCTTGTATTTAATCTTGTAGACCCATTTGCAGTATATAGCTCGCTTGCCAGGAGGTAATTTTTCAACTTGCCATGTCCCGGTGCGCTCAAGCGCATCTATTTCTCGTTGCATAGCCTCCCTCCAGTGAGGGGAAAGAACTGCTTCCTTGTACGTCTGTGGCTCACGATTAGCACTAATTGCCGCAAGAAAGGCTCGATGCTGCACAGAAAAACGATCATAATTTACAGCATCAGATAAGGGATAGGGCGTACCTGAGTGGACGATCGTAGTAGGCAGTTGACTGGGGGAGTCAGCTAGTTTCACAGTATTTAATTGAATGTCATAATCGTTCTGCCAAATTGGTGCTGCACGTGTGTGAGTGCTCCGTCGCAAGGGAAGAGAGTCCTGAGTGGGTTCTATGTCATCTGCAGCCGAAATGTTGGGAGTAGGAGCCAATTGAGTGGACCGAGCCTCATTGGATTGATGAGGTGCAGTGTCAGCAAAAGAGGAATGTGGTGGAAGAACAGTAGCTTCATCCGTGTTTCCTGGTGTCATGGCCCTAACATCATCATCATGGGTGTCCTTATCTTCTGTCAGCCGAGCCCATTCTTGAGTGTGGTGAGAGTCAACACCTTCTGGATGGTCGTCCAAGTCAGCCACGCAGCATGGTTTTTCAGACCCAAACGGAAATTGAGCCTCGAAGAACCGAACATCTCTGGATACAAAGTGCTTCTGATTTTCAAGATCAAAAACTTTCCATCCCTTTTGAGAATAGGAGTACCCAAGAAAAACACACTTAACACCACGCGGTGCAAATTTATCACCAAGTGTATTTTTATCATGAGCGTAGCATAAACATCCAAACACGCGGAGATTATTATAACACGGAATTTTGTTGTACAAGATTTCATAAGGGCTTTTGTGATGCAAAAGGCGACTAGGTAACCTATTAATCAAATACGCCGCTGCCAACACACATTCCCCCCAAAAATGAATAGGCAAATTAGCATGAAAACGTAATGCCCTAGCAACTTCCAGAATATGCCGGTGCTTTCATTCAACACGCCCATTCTGTTGCGGTGTATACACACAGGTGGATTGAAAAATTATTCCATAATCATTAAAATATTTTTTCAGTGCAATGAACTCTTTTCCATTATCACTTCGTACAACATGAACCTCCTTATTAAACTGCCGTTTAGTCATAACAAAAAATTGTTTCAAAATGCTTCCCACTTCGCCTTTGTGACGAAGTAAATGTACCCAAACAGCACGAGAATGATCATCCACAATAGTTAAAAAATAACAAGCGCCACAAGAAGAAGAAGTGCGATAAGGACCCCATACATCACAATGGATAAGTTCAAAACATTCAATAAGGGGAATGTTTGAGTCATGTTTGAGTATAATCGCATCTAGAAATGGAATGATAAGCGGCTAACATCTGAAGGTGTTAAGAAATTCTGAGAATTAATAACTTCTATCAAAGCTAAAGCTTGTTGAAATCCCCCATTTAATAAAACGCTTTGCTAGGAATTTACCCAAGTGACGCACAAATGATTTTGGCAAAGAATTTTAACATTTTCAAAAGGGTTATTAATGAACGGTCATTGTTAATAACTACCCTCGATGAATTGGAGATACTCCTCGATTGAGTATTCGAGAGGGGATAAGTTATAGATATAACAAGGATCGACTAAAATATATCAACCAGTGGAAAGTAGCAAAGCCAGGTCCTTTTTATCTTTGAATTAAATCTCATATAAGTCGTTCATCTTAGTTTTTAATTTAATTAAATCATTCATCACCAAAACCCCCCTTTATTTACTAAGTTTCATAAAAAGAGAATTGTTCCTTTCCTTGTGGATACGAACTCTACTTCACCTATACTACGTATAAGTGTTAGTATCGAATTATTTTGACGCACCGTGACAAAGTGCTCGACAAATTTGGCGCCGTTGCCGGGGAGAGGCAATTAATTTTTCTTTTTATTCTATTTCAAGAAAAAAAAAAAAACTATTTTTCTGAGCTTTGTTTGAGTATATGGTAAAAACCTGATCCATAAATCAACTCACCTACCAAATAAACCCTGAAATAGAACAAGCTCTCGAGCGGTTAAAAAGTAAATTCTCAAATACCGACTCGGGAGAATCCTCAAGTGCTAGTTCTCAATCTAGCGAGTCCGAAGAGCCAATATCGATGGCTCTTGAAATAAGAATGCTGAGGGAGCTCACAGCTCCCAATCTAAATCAACAACCCTTATGTATCACCTTCCTAACTCTTGATGTGGGTGCTACATTTGAGTTGAAATCCAGACTCATACATCTACTTCCATCTTTCCATGGGCTAAGAGGAGAGGATCCGAATAAACATCTCTCGGAGTTCCACATCGTTTGCACAAGCATGTGCCCGAACGGTGTTACCGAGGAGCAAATAAAGTTGAAGGCCTTTCCATTCTCCCTCAAGGACACCGCCAAAGATTGGCTATTCTATCTTCCCTCGGGAAGCATAGACACTTGGGCGGCCATGAAGAAAAGCTTCCTCGAAAGGTATTATCCTGCCTCAATCTCCTCATCTCTAAAGAAACAAATCAGCAATGTGGAGCAAAAAGATGATGAATCGTTCTACGAATTCTGGGAACGATTCAAGAAACTTTGTGCAAGCTGCCCGTATCATGGCTATTCGGAGCAAGACCTCATCCTTTACTTTTACGATGGTCTTTGCGATGATGATAGACGGATGATAAATGCCGCATGTGGAGGAGGAATAGTCAACAAAACTCCTTCTCAAGCTAGGAATCTTATCTCGGAGTTGGTCGAAAATTGTAGACACTATGATCAGCGGTCAACAAAGAGAGTCATGGCGGCGGAATCCAACAACTCGTTGGAAAGTCAAGTGGCCGGCTTGACTTCTTTGGTTAAAGATTTCATCTCAAATCCAAAAACCCAAAAAGTCAAGGTCTGCGGCATATGTTCAACACAAGGGCATCCCACCGATTCTTGCCCAACTCTACAAGAGGAGAACTCCGAGCAAGTCAATGCTTTGGGGTTTCAAGGCCAAAGGAGGTACGATCCTCACGGCAACATCTACAATCCAGGATGGAGGGATCATCCAAATCTAAGGTACAGAAACTCTCAACCCCCTCAACAATCAAACCCTCCTCCTCAACAATATAAACAAAAAGGCCAAACATCGAACTCGAACATGTCCACCGAAAACATGATTCGAGCACTAGCCATGAACATGACTACGATGCAACAAAGTGTGGCCCAATTTCAAGAAACAACAAAATCTAGCATCCACAACTTGGAAATCCAAATGAGCCAAATCTCAAATGCCGTGAGTAGGCTTGAAGCTAGGGATTCGGCAAAACTCTCATCTCAAACGGAGCCTAATCCAAGGCAACAAGCTCATGCGGTCACTCTGAGAAGTGGCAAAGAATTGGTTATGGCTAAGGCAAAAGCAAAGAGCCATGTTGGAGAAGAAGAGGAGAAGATTTTGGTGCCAAGCACAAATCCTCAAAATGAAGAGGAAAAGAGGAGGAGATCACACCTCAAAGAAAGTTCCCACCGCTCGATTCATATGAGTCGGTGCCACCTTTTCCGGAGGCTCTCAAGGATAACCGGAAATACAAAAATGACAAAGACATATATGTGACCTTCAGCAAATGTGAGGTAAATATCCCTCTTCTCAATTTAATAAAAGGTGTTCCTAGGTTTGCAAAGTTTTTAAAAGAGCTTTGCACAATTAAAAGGAAACACAAATTGAATGGCAAGCATAAAATCCAAGTAAGCGAAAGAGTGTCGGCCGTTTTTTAAAAGAAACTGCCTAAAAAGTATAGTAACCCGGGAATGTTCAATATACCATGTAAACTTGGAAATTCTAGTTCTTCTAGGGCTATGTTAGATTTGGGTGCATCAATCAATGTCATCCCATATTCTCTATACAAGTCCCTAGAACTAGGACCTTTACATGAAACGGGGGTTGTTATCCAACTTGCCGATAGATCCAATGCTCACCCAAAACGAGTGGAATTAAAACCACTCCATGAAAATATGAAGCATGTGTTCTTGGGTGAAAATCACACTCTACCGGTGATTAACTCAAATGCCCTATCCCAAGAACAAGAGGAAAGATTGATCGCGGTCCTCAAGGAGTACAAATTGGCCATTGGATGGTCTATTGCCGACATCAAAGGCATTAGTCCATCCACATGCATGCACAGGATCTTGCTCAAAGACGAGGCCAAAGCGGTGAGGCAACCGCAACGAAGATTGAACCCACCCATGATGGAGGTGATGAAAAAGGAGGTGATCAAATTGCTTCAAATGGGAATCATCTTTCCCATTTCCGATAGCAAGTGGGTGAGTCCTACTCAAGTGGTGCCAAAGAAGACCGGAGTGACGGTCATTGAGAACAAGGATGGCGAGATGGTGCCCACCCGAGTTCAAAACGGGTGGCAAGTTTGCATTGACTACCGAATGCTCAATTCGGTAACTAGAAAAGACTTCTTTCCGTTGCCTTTCATTGATCAAATGCTAGAGAGGTTAGCGGGGCACAAGTTCTATTGTTTTATTGATGGTTACTCCGGGTATTTCCAAATACCAATAGCCCCAGAGGCCCAAGAGAAAACAACTTTCACATGCCCATTTGGCACTTTTGCCTATCGACGAATGCCCTTTGGTTTATGCAACGCACCGGGCACCTTTCAAAGGTGTATGATGAGCATCTTCTCTGAATTTGTGGAAGTATTTATGGAAGTCTTCATGGATGATTTCACAATCCATGGGGACTCTTTTGACACATGTCTCTATCATCTCACTCTTGTGCTCAAAAGTTGCATTTAATCCAACCTTGTTCTAAATTCTGAAAAATGCCACTTTATGGTGGAACAAGGGATTGTTCTTGGGCATGTGATCTCATCAAAGGGGATCGAGGTGGACAAAGATAAAATTGATGTGATTCAAACGCTCTCGTACCCCACAAATGTATGGGACATCCGCTCTTTCCTTGGTCACGCCGGTTTCTATCGGAGATTCATCAAAGACTTCTCAAAAATTTCATCTCCTCTATGCAAACTTTTACAAAAGGAGGTTGAATTTGATCTGAATGATGAATGTAAAGAGGCTTATGACACTTTGAAAGCAAGATTGGTGACTGCCCCAATCATACAAGCTCCCGATTGGTCTCTTCTTTTTGAGATCATGTGTGACGCAAGTGACTATGCGGTGGGGCTGTTTTAGGCCAAAAGGTCGGAAGAGCTTCTCATGTCATCTACTACGCCTCCTCAAACCTCAATGAAGATCAAAAGAACTACTCCACCACCGAGAAGGAAATGCTAGCGGTAGTCTTTGCTTTGGAAAAGTTTCGTTCCTACCTTCTTGGAACGAAAGTTATTGTTTACACCGACCATGCCGCTCTCCGATTCCTTATGACAAAGAAGGAAGCCAAACCAAGACTCATTCGATGGGTCCTTCTATTGAGTGAGTTTGATATGGAGATTAAAGATAAGAAAGGAGCGGAGAACTTGGTGGCCGATCATTTAAGCCGCCTCATCCCTCACAAATACATTGAAGACCTCCACACAAATCTCATCAAAGGCGAATTCCCGGACGAAACTCTCTTCTCCGTCAAAGTCATACAACCATGGTACGCATATATCGTGAACTTCCTTGTTTTCGACAAATTTCCTCCACAGCTCTCAAAATCTCAAAAAGAAAAATTGAGAATGGATTCAAGACTCTATGTTTGGGATGACCCATATTTGTGGAAGCATTGTAAGGATCAAATAATCCGAAGATGCATCCCTGAATATGAGATAGCCCACATCATAGAGTTTTATCACTCTTATGCTTGTGGAGGACATTTCGGTCCGAAACAAACGGCAATGAAGATACTTGAAAGCGGTTTTTGGTGGCCGAGTCTATTCCGGGATGCACAACGCTTTTGTCAATCTTGTGACAATTGCCAAAGAGCGGGCAACATTTCAAGGAGGAACGAGATGCCACAAACCCCCATGCTTTTCTGTGAGATTTTTGATGCATGGGGTATCGACTTCATGGGACCTTTCCCAAACTCTCAAGGTAACATCTACATCCTTCTTGCGGTAGATTACGTCTCTAAATGGGTGGAGGCAAAAGCAACAAAGACTGATGATGCCAAGGTGGTGGTTAGTTTTCTCAAATCACAC